AGGAATACAACTAGACCCATTCAATAGCACTTTAGGCAGCTAGTCACCATTTATAATTTCTGGTTTCTTTTCTCTAAGTTGACCTAAATGACTTTAAGATGATCTTGGAAATATTAATATAGAAAATGTCAATTTATAATGTGTTAAGCATTTATTTTTTCACTTAATCAAAAAACATTGAAATCTATGAACTATGTACTCAGCTATGTGCTGGGAATGTGAAAATGAACAAAAGCATTACATCACATTAGAGATATAAAGACAAAATAATGGCTAGCACTTAGTGAGTGCTTAGCAGTCCTGTGCTGTAGCCATGTATTAACTTACTTAGCACAATGTCCTTATAAGGTACCAATAGTACTTCTATTTTACAGGTTAAAAAAGCCAGATGCACAGGGAGGTTAAGCGACTGCCCAAGGTCATACAGCTAATAAATGTCCAAGATCAGATTCATACACAGGCATCCGGGCTCCAAAATCTACTGTTATTTTGGCAAAGTGTCATGCTAGCAAACATTTCTAATTTTCACTTAATACCCTACAATTCCATTTATTTTACACTCCAACTCTATCCAAAAAAGATTGTGTACTATTTATCACCAATTATAAGAACTTTTATTATTGAATGAGACTCTCTGAAGTAGATAAGGATTATTAGACTGATTTTAGAAAAGAGAAAACTCAAGCTCAAAATGTAAATTGATTTGTCACATGGCCAGTCATTTATTCATTCATCTGACAAAAGTTTTTTGAACATATGTGACACACAAAGATTAGGACATAATCTCTCTCTAAGGCATACAGAGAAATATTATGGAAATGATACAAAATGAGCAATTAGTGCTGCCTGGAGATGTCTCAGAGGAGGCACTGTGTATAGATGACAAGCCCTTTACACAGCACGACCTGCCTTCTCAGATATGACGCAGAGATGAAGCTTAAAATTTGTGTTCCTTGTATATTAAAGTAATTAAGTTATCTTCTTTCAAAATGGTCAAGTCCCAAGTACCTTGGATCAATATAATCTCCAGTGAACAATTTCATGTAGTTGGCCTTGAAACTCTAGAGTTTATAATATTTCACTGCTCTTAGTCTGCTCTAGTTAGTACGAGAATTAGGAAGAAAAATATAGAACTAACCCCACTAACTAGAAGTCAGTGTTCTAGGTGTTCTGGTGAACACAAAGTGAAAAGAACATGTTTCTTACCTTCAAGAAATTTTAATTTAGCCAAAGAAATCTACCCAGAAATAACTGTAATACTAAGCAGAATGTGTTTACTGCCAACAGAGAGATGCAACAATCTGATATTGCACATAGAAGAGAAACCGATTAATACACTCTTAACTTAGAAATTCATTGACAGCTTAGATGTGAAAGGTATTCATGAGTGAGGACAATAAAATTGAACAGCTTGATTATCAGACTATGAGATATGAACTGAGTTGTGAGCCCTCATAAGACACTTAAGATGTTAAAGGTGTTTCTTTTTCTGTAATTTTTCTATGATATATCTATTTTCATAATTGTATGCTAATAACAGCCATACTTATCAAATGCTTGCTGTGGTTTAAATAGCCTGACCTCTGAGCTCTAAAATCAAAGGTTTCTAAACCCAACAGTCATCATTCTCCCAGAGAGAGTACAGGAAGAAGGTAAATTAAGACATCATCTGCTTCTTGTGGTGAGGTTTGCATCATCATGGCTTTTTCAATTCTTAAATATCTCTGCATATTTAAAGACACGTTCAGCATAAAATAGAAACTCCTTTGCATGCTATTCAAAACCCTTCCTGATCTCCCCACCTGCTTCTACCACCTTCGTCTCTCATCACTTTAGGTTTACATACTATACTCCTGGCAAATTGAATTATCTTAGGTTCCCCAAACATGGCATGACTTTGTACCATCCAGCCCTTCCTTGACCCTTCTTGCCCCATCCTTTAAAACTTATTTCAGGCCGGGCACAGTGGCTCACGGCTGTAATCCCAACACTTTGGGAGGCTGAGACAGGTGGATCACGAGGTCAGGAGATTGAAACCATCCTGGCGAACACGGTGAAACCCCATCTCTACTAAAAATACCAAAAACTAGCCGGGCATGGGGGTGGGTGCCTGTAGTCCCAGCTACTCGGGAGGCTGAGGCAGGAGAATGGCATGAACCCAAGAGGCAGAGGTTGCAGTGAGCCGAGATCGCGCCACTGCACTCCAGCCTGGGCGACAGAGCAAGACTCCGTCTCCAAAAAAAAAAAAAAAAAAGAAAGAAAGAAAGAAAAAGAAGAAGAAGAAAAACTTAGTTCAGTGGTCATCTCCTCTGGGGAGCCTTCCTTGACTCTTTTTCCCTGGGCCAGGTTAAGGGTCTCCACTCTGTGTGCCCTAATGCTTTGGGCTTACTCCATCATAGCTTTCCCACAACCCAGCGCACTTCTGTTCCCTTGCGTCTTGTCTAAACTTGACTGAGAATGTCTGGAAAGCAGGGATTATATCTTTCATTGCTTTTGCTCAAGTACCCATCTGATGCATGGCAAGAATAGGAACACAACATATTAGCTGAATGCAAATATGGAAGAAGAGAGGGAGGGAATATAAGAGGCTTTAGTTATTTCTAAGAGAAAGGAGAGTTGTTTTGAAAAAGAGGAATTTAAGACAGGCTGCTGAGGAATTATAAAACTGAAAGTAATTACATTTTCCTTCATACCTAATAACATTTAGCCTATTTCTTGAATTTGTTTATATCACCTCAATAAATTCCTTCTGGATAATATTTTTAGGTACTCTACTTGGGCAGGTTTTTAAAAATTTCAATCTATACAACAACTAGACCATTTTGATTAATTGTTTTCGTCAGCTGGGCCTAAAATGTGTTTATTTTGAAAACGGTAAGATGACATATAACTCACATATATATATAAATGGAAAAAAGTGTACCAAATTCCATGCTTAATTATTCTGTTTGCATCTGAAACAGTGATGTTGCTATAAGCATTACTGTGCATCACTGTAAATATCTTGAAAAAGCAATATCATCTTCTTAAAGGACATTAATGTTTCAATACCTATGGCAGAAACAAAGGAAGCTATGACAATTGTTATATTTCAAACTACTTTTTGTGTGTTTCTTTGGCCACCCCAACTTTTGCTTCATCTTTGCTTTCAGACTGACCCCCCAAAAATCAGACCATGTTCATAAACTGGATTTGTCCTCAGTTTCCTCTGCTTGCTTTCTTCAATGAAATCACGTACCTGGGAATGGAAGGCATAGGACATGATACATTATGACCAGTCAGTCATGTTTTACAGTTTTGGGTTCAATTGCAGCAGTCCTGTAAAAACAGGCTCACCCCATTCTGTTTTTGAAACATATGATATATTTATCTTGGATTCAAACTACATTCCCTTAACAATGACAAATACATTTGGGGTGATCAATAAATATCAACCATAGCTTGTTTTCTGTGAACACACTGGAAGTATAATAAATAAGATAATCTATAATCCTGAAGGGTGAATAATTTGGAGGATCGAGATGAGTTATTCTAATAGGTGCTAAATTCATATGTCGTGCCATGTTCTCATAAGTCTTAGCAACATCTGATAATTAGAGGAACTCTTCTCCAATCAGCTATTAGTCAATGTCGACAACTGACACTTACTTGTATATTCTGCTAAGTGACTTAACAAATAGGTTCATTCACCAAATACATTAGGAAACTCTAACAAGAATAGGAAGTATATCAGATTCTTGAGTTATACGGCTCACTCCACTTGAATCCAGTGGTTGGTTTACAGCAAGCCACAGGTAGTATGTTCCTAATGCCGTCTCAACATCGCCACCTGCTGCTCATTCCAGGTCCAAACATGCTATCTCTAGTCACAGGCTGCCAGACACTTCCTCTGGGTGAGAAACATTCCTGAACCTTGGGTACTCATCAAACCCTAGTAGAACTAAAGGTAATCAATTGCACTCCTGGAGCCACTGGACAAAGGCAGTGGGGGAACTGTTGGTAATGTAGGCAATTAAGTGTTAATTATATTTTACTGAATTTCACAAATTTTGTAAGTTTTGTTCTCTGCTATTTATTTTCCAGCATTTAGAACAATGCCTGACACATAGCAGTGACTCAATAAATATATACTAAATAAGTGAATATCTAAGGAGAAGGGTAATTATTCTCATGAATTCACCTTTAAATAATAAAATAAATTATTGTGAAATATTTCTAGTAAACAATAATATCCCTATCCAGAATTGTTAGAGAGGGGAATGAATGAAAATGAAAAGAGGTGGGGCATGGTAGCTCACACCTATAATCCCAGCACTTTGGGAGGCCAAGGAGGGTGGATCCCTTGAGCCCAGGAGCTCAAGACAAGCCTGGTCAACATGGCAAAAAATACAAAAGATACAAAAAATTAGGCTGGTGTGGTGGCAACCCAGTTGCCTGGGAGGCTGAGGTGGGAAGATTACCTGAGCCCCGGAGGTCAAGGCTACAGTGAGCTGTGATCATGCCACTGCACTTCAGCCTTGGTGACAGTGAAACCCTGTCCCCACCCCCTGAAAAAAACAGAAAGAAAGAAAATGAAGGAAAAGGGGGAAGAGGGACTCCTCAATGATTTTAACCAGAAATACGATAAAAATCTGGATGAAAAAATATATATGATAGGAGAAAATTACTAACAGTCTATTCTGCAGATAAAATTGGATATTTATTCTTTTTATTTTAACAAAATTCAAAAAAGTAAAAAGTATATTTTAAAAATCATGTATTTCACTTTTTACCAAGCAGATATTCAAGTTATCCCACTCACTCATTTATATATTGCGTGTGATACTAACAAATTTGACTAGTATTTGACATAGAAATTGAAGAAGTATATTGACCTAGCTTCAACGAATTTGGAACAAGAAATTGTTTGCTGAAAAATAATTCCACTTTTCAAGAATGAAATTGATTTTCAAGGAAAGTATCTTTTTGTAAAGTGCTGACTTCATCTTCTATCTCTGCAGTGCTAACATCCAGATTTGCATGTGCTGGGAGAGAAAGTTCTTCATGGATCTCTTGTGCTCCTACACATCTCACAGGTAGGTCAAGAATACAAGACTCTGACCCCTTTATATCTGGGCCATTTATCAGTGTTGGGTCTGCAACTAGCAACCTTCAGGATTGAGGTGATGTTGCCCTCCAAGACAAAGAGCAGACTTGCTTCCTATTTGCTGTAAAACTACAGATTCTCCAAGCTTAGGGTTCCTCTCCTGAACCCCACCTGCTGCAGGTGCATACATCCATCAGGGCCCATTTACATCACTCAGGGGGAACTGGAGCTGGGAGAATTGATGTGGTATGCTGACACTCTGGCTGCTGCTTTGCTATAATCAATCACCTCTGACCCAGAGGTCAGGTGTCTTCTGTAGTCATCCCTGAAACTGTGATAAGTTAACATGTTAGCTGGAACGGAGGGTAAAATCTCAAACCCCTCACAGTTCTTGAGAGCATGACTTCATCTAAGAACAGGAATGTTCACAGTGAGGAAACCCCAGTGCACTCAAGGCACAACAAAGTGAATTTTCAAGAGGAAAATTCAGTGTTTCGGAGATAATTGATTATATAAACTGAACATACCTTTTCACTAGTGTCAACAGAATTTTGTTCTAGAAAAAAAATTTTAAGGGATTTTGAAATTATATTAATTTTAAAACTTCAGTTCTTTATTTAAACTAGGGCTATAAGTATCATGCTAAGAATTGGGTAAAGTGGTCAAATTTTTGTAAAATTTGTAGGTTTTACAATATAAATTTTAAAAAATACCATTTATAAGCCACGAGAAGAGTTTTCTTCTTTAAGTAGATTTACACTACATAATTTCATCGTTTATTTTATTTAATTATATAGTATAAATAATATAGTTATTTTACTTAATAACATAGTAAAAAATTCATTCAATAGTCATGATTAAACATCTACATTTCAAACTCCAGCTTCTATTTTTGCTGAGGTAGAAATATCCATTATCTTTCACATTGAGTTCTTAGATTTGGAGTCAGAAATTATTTCCTTGATTCTTTGAAAAGGGAGAAAGGATTCTAACACTATTCTGAGCGCCACTTGGCTATAGAACCTGCTATAGTATGGATAAATCCCAGTG